CTGACTAAGGCACTCGCGACCGCATGTGCTACAGCACCATGCCCTCGATGTCGATGGGGTACAACCCATCGGTACTTGCCGCTTCTTCTCTGCATGTGTGAGGTCTTTCTCCAGCACTTCGGCAACTGCCTTCGTGAGTAGATCGCGTCAGGCACGTCGATCAACTGCCTTCGATTCCCATGACCTGCAATCAAGATTGGAACGTGAAAGGCTCACTTTGATGATGTCCTGGTAAAGAAGCTTCGGTTTCCCCACATACCACTTCCCAATACTCAGATGAGAGTTGTTTCGGTATCCGCATCGAATGCATACGCCACACATGACCGAGCCAAATTAAATGTGTCAGCAAAAGTATGCAGTCCACTGCATATATTCCGCTTTGTTGCAGCACATCCGTGTCAGCAATTCTGCCTCACCAACCGATGCGCTATATATATATATATATATATATATATATATATATATATATATATATATATATATATATATATATATATATATATATATATAGGGTGTTTTATTAATCTAGTCCGGAGCTAGGAGCAGCTGAACTCAGGCGCTGACGTACACCGATACACTGAATTGCTACCTCTCTAATGGCGCAAATTGCATTGCCGGCAGGGGTGGGATAGGACACAGAGATGCGACATGTGTGCCTACGATCGCAGAGCGCACCGAGCCGTTCGTATGTGAGAAATGAAAGTTAGCAAACACCACAGCCGCAATGAATGGGTCATGCCAAGACCGCAGGGCAAGACCAAGGCTAGTTAGCGTTAACTTCTAGTGGTCCTCGGCACGATCCCCAACAGGGGACCGATGGATGCGCACTACTGACGAGCCCCAATAGGGTGAAACGCGCATCTAAGGATTTCCAGATTGGTAGCTGAGCAATGCGGTTTGGAATCTAATTGCAATGAACCGAATCGAATCATACCCAAATAAATCTACTCATAGGTAATAGTGCAGATCAGGCAAAAACAATTTGACGGTCTCTTGAATAAACGTTCAGAGATCAACTGGCCTACATTGAACGGCCCGAAGCAGCACGATGTGAAGACGAGTCTGGCGGATACGCCGACACTGGATGAGACGCAGAGAGCAATTGATCAGCTGCGAAACAACAAGTGTGACTGGGCCGACGAGATCCCGCCTGAAGTATTGAAACACGGCGGACCCGCGTTCGTGACTGCACTGCACCAACTTGGTGCAACGCGTATGCATTGAGGAGAAGCTGCCTCCTGAGCTGAAGGATGCCCTTGTGCTACCACTGTACAAGGGCAAAGGAAACAAACAATGTTGCACGAATTATTGTGGCCTCAACTTGCTGAGTTGTGTGGGCAAGGTGATTGCCCGGATCCTGCTCAACTGCCTCGTCAGTCAAGTTGTGGAACCTAACGTGGCGGAAGAGCAGTGTCGATTCTGAACAGTACATGAGTATTAGTTGAGAATACGCATGTAATTATAACTATTATAATTATGGTTACAAGGCGGGGAACGCCGCTCACGTGGTGGCTTCAACAGATATAAGTCAAACAGTGAAACCACTGGTGATTGAATGCAATTAGCTTCTTTACGCCTGTCGACAAAATGGACAAATTTCACAACCGTACAGTATAGTTGATCGGATCCAGAACCTAATACACCGAAACAAAAAGCAAGGAGATTTGAGACGAAATAAGAAACCGATTAGTAAGGAAAAGGTCATCAAGGGCTTTGCATTGATCAAAACAGGCCCCGTGGTTGAAGAAACACATACGGCCACTAGATCAAGCGAGAGACTTTAACAACGGTGATACGGAGAAGTTATAACAACCCAGTTGAATCATGAGAAACAGTGCTAGAAAAAGAAATCGGTGTTAGCCGTGATTAAATACGATTTATGACGCGGAGTACTGAGAAGCGCATGGAAGCTGTTTCGTTGATGCCGCCTTAACTCCGTACGATAGCCACGCGACTGTGGCCACCAGTTATTAACAAGGTGTAGGCGACCTGATGCTTAACGTATGCATTGGATAGTTAAACGCAAGAAAGGCATCAGCAATATGCCGGTTCGCCGTACTGACACTTCGCTGCCACGCAACCACCACCAGTCGCGCGTAAGTTAAGGATACTGCGAAGTCCGCCTGGCCTACGCAGACTCCAATCGACGACCCCATGTCCTTTCGGCTACGGGCTGACCTTGGAGTGTTTAGGCTTTACAAGAGGTCGTTCTACTTTCTCTCTTCTTCTTTTTCATGTAATGGATGTTCATGGTTGTACGACAGCGAAGTATCGGTTCAAATTATTAATGTAATGCAACTGCTGATGAGGACGACAAATGAAATAAGAATAAGAACTACACCATAACAGCAGCAGTGTATCGAAAGGCTCGACCAGCCTACCACGAACACGTAGGCGGTAATATCGATTTGGTTAGATCATTTATTTACCGAGAATACACCTGGGTTAATGGATGCATCGGTACGCACACAGATGTCCGGCGCCGTGGGTTCACAGTGAACGATGGTGCGAGTACGAAACAACTACAAATGGCAGACAGCGTGTTGTGGCCGGTTAGGATGGGTGATGCACAACAACAGGGGCACGATCACTTTGTGATTCAAAGGAGGGAATTAAGATAATTATCCTAATACGTAATTGGTTAGCGAGTGAAACATGCCGACCTTGACAGTCACGACAGAAAAGAACGGAATTTGTTTTTGGTACCGCTAGACAAAATATGTGTTTAGCCCGAGTGAGAGGAATACTGCAGCACCAAATGTTTCGACATCTGAAAACGGCCTGCGAAAGTGATCGGAGAACGCAGGCAAACGAAGCATGTGTCTCACAAGTGTCAAATGCTAAGTTCCGGAGAAGAAAGCAGAGGAGGAAGCGAAAAGCGTAGGGGTTAAGAATTGGGAGCCAGATCAATTTGGAAGCCATGCGCGGATCATTCATTTGGATGACTACTGAAGAAATTGTGGTCGATAGTGTGTCCAAACGAATCCTGGGTGGACAGCTTTAGTTTCGTCTTCAGTTTTTCAGCCTTGATACGTGCACTGAGTAATAATAATAACAACAATACTCCAGAAGAATAAACAGTTTAAATCGTTAGATGGAAAAGTCAAGATCCCGAAATAAGGAGAAGTATTTAAGAGTGCTGCTGGTTTCGTGACCGCACCATCTTCGATAAGATATCCGCGACCACTGATTCGGCTAATCTCGAGGGACCCACTCAGTAAGATGACAAGAACTAACCGCGCGCAGTTGTAAGACACGACCATTTATGCTCTTACTTCACGCGGTTAAGAGGCCTCTCTGGGGTTTCAGCCAAACTGAAGTATCACTGGCAAAGAACACAGGTTGAGACAACCGATTTGGAGGTATGTGGAGCACAATGCTGACCTAATGAAGGTGAAACGAGTTAAACAAGCATTCCGATGTGATATCACCGGAGTGTCTGTTGTCAAATAGCAAATTAACAACTTCATTAGTACTCGCTAGCAGCAACACATAAGAAGTATCGGTGGTAGAACACAGTCAGTCAGTCTACATCGTCAGAGCTCAGCGACGACATCCCTGAAGGATATAGTAACATTGATAAAACCTTGGCCGAAATCAACAAGCTTAAATCCCACCGCGTCCAATGAACAGGTATACCCAGTATGTCGCCAGCCAACTCGATTACCATGTCGTATTTTTGTTGTTGAGCAGGGAAGTGAATGAGAGACAGGAAAATATGAGGACGTTTGGGTGGGGAATGAGAAAACTGAAGAGTGCAGGCGTCAAATCCCGTTTATATGTATCAAATCTTGTTTAACGATTACAACCGTTCGCTGAGAAGTATTAGCGACATAATCGGCCTAAAATCCAAATGAAGTGGATGTCCAAGAATTCCCCACAATGGAGACGGGCGACGATTTCCGACATTACGGAATGATGTGACCAGCGGTAGTCCATAAAGTCTAGCAACATTAGTATGAACTTTTTCTAAATAGGAAATTTATATCGATGTTAGAAGCGGCGGGTTTTATTTTTACGGTTCAGATTGAGGCGCGCTACACCGAAAAATATTAGCATAGCACTGCCAGGAAAACAGTATTTCCAAACTCAGGGTATTCAAGGGAATCGATTAACCTGACAAGTGGCCAACGACTGTGTGCTGAAAGAGCCGATGGTATGAATAAAACCTGACACATTCACAGCCGGCGCACTCACATAAGTGAGACTTCGCGCCGAAGCTCAGCCCCATAATAAGTAATGCAGACTTTATGCATAAACAGACCTAAGTACATCACCAAAGGGTTATGCAGTGGCGGTAAGAAATTCAGCCGGCGGTCATGGAGGGAGTAGTCCACATGCGAACGAGACTATCTAGCCCTGGAGAGTTCAAACAAGAGCGTTCTCGTCGTAGGGTGAAACGCAGGAAGTGAGCAAGGCCAAGACATAGAGTACTTATCATTGGAACTACGAAAAAAGATGAATAGGTACCGACAGCTGCGTATTTACGTTGACTAGGTGAAGATGTCCCCATGGCAGATGCCACATGGTAAAGGAGAAAGAAGTATCTAACAGAAAGAGGGGACCAAGTTAGTGAATATCATCTGCAATGTTTGGAGTCACGAGGCTGGTGTATGGTGTTGCAGGCTTTTTACCTAATAAGGCGCCAAAGGAACCGGAGGAATTATTGTTCCCAACTATCGAGCAATACAGGACTACACATTGCACTTTAAGTCTGAATTCCCGCAGTGGATAGTTGTTATCATGGCAACAGAAGAAACGTCAGTTCGGCCCACCGTTATTTAGCACGTCGGAGTACAATCGAGTGAATGGCAAGAGAAAGTTGGTCCAAACCGAATACACAGAAGAGTCAGTGTACTACACCTGGTAAACCGTTAGAGGTAACAGAATGGAGAAGGATGAACGAAGAAAAGCAAACTTCACGACTAGTGATTTGACACAACAAACTGAATATAAAGCGCTAACGTGAGGAAATGAGTCTGAGAAAAACGTTAACGTACCGACCAGGCGGTCTTCGGATCCGTGGGAATCGGCTGCGTGTTCGCTGTCGGACCTTGAATATGCTGAATGTCGCGCTGTACTCCAGACTGAAGGTTGTAAAACAAGACGAATGCCGAGATTTGATCAACTTAGAATATATGTGACAAAAGAAGGGGTGGTGTCCAAAAAGGGCTAGAGGCGAAAGAAGTTCCGGAAATTGTCGGTTGCATTATGGGGCCCGAGCACCCGCATGAGGTTTACAGGCTAACACACAACTCACAGACAGTGTGTGGGATTTCGAGTCGACGGTTTCCATCCGACTCACATCACCTGCAGGCGTGGTCGCGTACAAAGCACCGAGACGCCAAAACTGGACAACGTGCTGGGTGAGCAGTTGGCATACTGACTCCACCAAGGCGACCATAGGAGGCAGGTCCTTGGATGAAACTGGGATAGGACGGGTAAAAGGTATCTATGATGGTCACGTATGGTGTTCACATGTGAAATGGCACAGATGAGATGATTAACGGAAGCAACGGGATAGTACGACAACGTCCGCGATTGGGAGCCTCTAAGGCTTCTGCGATACCCATTGCTCACATACTATACTAATACTGGAGGGTGAAAGGAAAATCTCTTGATTCAGAATATTTGCGCGTAGAAAATAGCGTAAGTATAGTAGGTGGAAAAAAGGAGGGGATTCCATATGGTTGTTGGGAGGGTGACAAAAGTGATTGGGCAGCATGACAGCCATGCGCCGAAAGCAGGATTTCTGGCCCTCTGCGGGCTATCAAACTAAAGGAGAACGGAAGAGACTAAGGGAACACAACTGCAAAAGCGGTTTCAAAGTACTACACTCTAGTATCACGGATAAATAGCCGCATAGATTGCAAAAAACATGATTGACGAAGCCCACGGGGACAAAATGCCCCAGACAATAGAAATGTTATCGTACGACAGATAAAAAGCTGGCTGGCTCGCCGAACAACCTCCCCGTGGTGCCAGCTGAGCGGTCCGGAAATTTCCCGTTCCAGGGAATGATTCGGCAGCAGTGTTCTAGGACGTGGTGGGTTTTCGCCTGACAAGCGTTCTCCCTATAAAAAGCCACAAATGTCCGTTTAACAACACTGCAACGTGGCGGATGTGACTCGCCACTAAATAAAGTCACTGCTCCTTGTCTTCTTTGAAGACATTGCACATTGGCAAGAAATCCAAACATCGGACCTTGTCTGACTTCGGGAGTGTTCGGCTTTTGGCATGGCTTATTGTCATCCGAAAGACGTATGAACTGAGTGTTCAGTCACCGGCTCTCAACGGGTGCGAATCTCTCATCTTGCCCTGCTGCCTTGTGGGTTAGGCCCTTTGGCCAAAGACAACCTACCTACCTCGGCACAGAAAAACGGGTAGTGTCTCGCCTACTGACGAACCATGGACTTACAGTTACAACCATTCACACACTCTCTTGCTGCTACGATGCTATGCACTCATGTTACTATGCCAACTTCACAAGCACACGCCACCACTTGACCTACCCTTCCTTTGTCCCATTCACACTCATTTTACCTGATTCCACAATGGCGATCAACCCCACCTACACCGATGAACCTGTTCCCGTGACATCTGCCAACTCAAGCACACAGTGCTCAACAGAGAGCTGCCAGTCCCAAAGTCTCCCATCTTCGCTTCTGTAACCCGGAACGCAATTCAAACTTAGAGCCTTCAACGTACGCACATCATTACAGATCGGTTAGCAAACTGGGCTTCCACGCACGCTAGAGACCCTTGGAAATGATATCTGCTGCCTGAATGAAACGCGACTTCAGGACTCTAACTCGGTCTACAAGCTGGCGTCACCGCTCTACCCACACACCCGCTCCCATCTCCGCCTCTCTGGTAACGGCGAGTCTGCCGTATCTGGGCAAGCTGGTGCTGGAATCGCCCTCAGTGCTTGAGCCGAGACTGCTCTGATTGATTGGATTCCGATCAATACTCGCCTCTGTACAATGAGGCTCCATGGCTCCAGCAAAATTAGCGGACGTCGAGTCGAAAAGCGTGCTCTCTTCGTGATCTCTGCCTACGCGCCCACTGACTGTAGCTCGGACACAAAGACCAGTTCTACTAGAACCTTCATGAGTTGCTCCTAATGGCTCCTAAAACAGATATCATTGTTTTAGAAGGAGACTTCAACGCGCGTGTCGGTCGTCTGCTGCCATGTGAGCGCCACCTCGAGGGACGGCATGGATATGATGTTGTTCTCTCAGACAACGGGGAGAGACTGCTAAATCTGTGTGCTGATCATCAGCTTTTCGTCTCCAGCACGAGCTTTCGTCATCCTGAACGTCAGTACGTTACTTGGCGTCCCCATCATCAACCCAGCGCTGGTCACAGATTGACCACATAGCCATACGTCGCAGGTGGCGCGGGTAGCGTAGGCGACTGCTGAACATTTTGGTCAACATGCGTCGATACCGAGCATACACTGGTATGTGCGACCGTTTGCATGCGTTTCGGTGGTTCACCTAGGTCTAAACACACCCGACTGAACACCTACAAGTTAGAGTACCCAATGGTGAAGAAGGAATATCAACAAAGGCTTCGTGAAAATCTCGTTCTCTCTCACACTCTGGATGTTGATGAACACTAGTCAAGCCTGCAACAAGCCTTGCTGTCGGCCGGTTGATCCAGCTGTGGCTTCGCTCGCTCCACTCTCAAACGCTGGATCTCGGGAAGATTCTCGGAATTGCTGGGTTGCCGACGGGTGGTGCCTGCTGGCGCAGAGTACAACGAACACCGCCGGTCTATAACGCAACAGCTGAAAGCAAGCTTTCGCTCTGATCGTGAATCTTGGTGGTCAAAACAAGCTGGTGAGATGGAAACCGCTGCATCAGCTGGCAACTTCCGCCGTCTGTTTTACATCATCAGGGCCACTGCTTGCAATTTCCACGCTATCAGCCAGAGGATTTGCGAATCAGACGTCACAAAGATCAGCAACCTTCCCAGGCGATTGGGTTGCTGGGCAGAGCATTTCACTCTTCAATTAAACCACCCAACACAGCCCCCTGCGGCACCTCCAGTCCCAATGGATGATGCTTAGCCATTCTCCACAGCCCCCCCCTACCAAATGAAGCAGAGGTCCGAAATGCAATCCAATCTTTGAAACGCAACAAAGCTCCTGGTCCCGACAGCCTACCACCGGCTCTACTCAAAGATGACGGGAGTGTACTTGTCAGCAAAATCCTACCGCTGTTCACGAAAGTTTGAACTGAGGAGAAGGTTCCGAGCTCATGGGGAGAATCGGGCATTGTCCCGATTCACAAGAAGGGTTCCCGCGCCGACTGCTGCAACTACCGCAGAATCTCCCTAATCTCTGTCGCATTCAAAATCTTCGTGTCGGTCCTACTTCGCAGGCTTTCAACGAGTAGAGAGGAGTTTTTCCGATAAGAACAAGCCGGATTATATTCAGGCCGCGGCTGCATCGAACAAATCTTCACGCTTCGGCAAGTTCTCGAAATCCGTCACATCCACCGGCGGCCAACAATCGTAGTGTTTTTGGACATCCGAGCAGCAATTGATTCGGTAAATAGATCGGCGTTGTGGAACTGTTTACTGTAGGTGTGCCCGACAAGTTTGTAATCATCCTGAAAGGACTTTACAGTCACACATCGGGCAAAGTCCGGGCTTACGGCTCTCGAGTTCGTTTGCTGTGACCAGCGGTGTTCGCCAAGGTTGCCCTATTTCACCTTTCCTCTTCAATTTCGCCATCGAAGATGTCCTCCAAAGAGCATTGGAAGGTGTCCAGAACTGTGGTGTTGAGCTCCTCCCCGGAGACAGAGTCACGGGCTTGAACTGCGCCGATGATATAGCCTCGCTGGGGGACGACCCACAAACCGTCCAGAGCGCTTTGGACCGCTTGGCGATGGATGCGTCTAAGTACGGCCTATGCTTCACTCCGGGAAAATGTAAGACGTTGCTCCAGGACTGGCAGGTGCCTGAACCCGCACTCACAATTGCTGGACATGTTCTGGAGCAAGTCTCTTGCTTTATTTATCTACGGAGCTGCATCACGGCTGGTGGCGGTGTTGGAGATGAAGTCTCACAACGGACTGCAAAGGCCCGCCTTACATTCGTCAAACTGCGACACCTATGGCGTCGTCGTGATGTGAGTCACAAGCTCAAGGACAGGGTGTACAATACTTCCGTCCGTGAAGTACTCTAGTACGGCTGTGAGACAGCCTATTCGCTCGGAAGACATGAAGCGGCTATCAGTCTACGACAAGCGTTGTTTAGGAAAGATTGGTCGGGTGTGGTGGCAACACTGCGTAATCAACGCAGACGTGCGAGACCGAGTGCTTGGAGCAAGTATTGCCAGCTCATCGCCTTCCACGTCGAGCGCTATTTGCACTCCCAAAGAGTGACCGGAAAAAGTGTCGTGGTAGACAGCAAATAACGTGGAGAAGGAGTATGGAGAAGGCAACCTAAGTTTGGCGACAGTCGGACCAGTTCGTCTTCCAGGTTGGGGACCACGAGAGGCTGAATCTCAGTGGTTGGAAACATTGGATGTCATGGACCGCAACAAAAATCAGTGGCATCAATGCTGTTCTGCCATTTGATCACCCTTTAATGCACATAAAAACTCAAGAAACAAAAACAAGAAAATCAAAATGGCGTGCGTAAAACCAAAAAATTTGTTTTCCTTTTTTATTATCGCATTTCGTGTTTCTATCTTCTCCAGTTTTTTCTTCTTCCATTATTCTGATGGCACAATGTCTGTTAACAGACTGTGAATATATATATATATATATATATATATATATATATATATATATATATATATATATATATATAAAGGTACTGAATATGGGGATGCACACAATTGATAATCTAGTTACGGGTCTGTCATTATGGCCATAAAGCAAGCGACATTGAGAGATCAGGGTCGGCCCCACATCGGACATTCTCGGATGGACAATGTCTACTCCACGGACAAACGTGCAGCGAATGGGTTTGGGTAGAAAACGAGGGCGGCGTAACTGTGTGGGCAAACACCGCTCCGTGTTTACAGAACTTGTGCCGGGCGTAAATTGCAGGCTATTCGGAAGTGCGCGAGCGACAAACCTGAGTGGATGTCCGATGTCTCGAGTAAGACCACCAACAAAGTGGATTGAAGTCGGCGCCTGAATGGTGCATACATGCAAACACGCATGCATACGTTCGTGTGACGCGAGGTAGTCAAAAGCAACAAATGGAACACAACACAGTTAAAAGGATCACTAATGGGTGCGGCCGCGTTCAGAACGGGTATAAAGACGATGGCGGCGGCGGCGGCCGTGTTAACGGCTTTCTTTGGTTGAATGCACCACGTATCCGCGAGGTGTGTTAGCGGCGATAACGGTTGGGACTTTATCACAATGAATAGGAAGCTGCTGCGTCAAATAGACAGTGCGGGG